CTCTCTCTCTCTCTCTCTCTCTTTCTCTTTCTCATGGTTCGCCCACCTATGCAGCGATTCAAATATAATGCGTCAGACCGAAAAAGACTTTGCATTATTATTGTTAAAAGCCAAAAGAGACCTTGCATTATTACTTTAAACTTATCAAGAACATTTTACACAAAGGTGCATCTAAAAATGTAATAAGAGTCAGAACCACCCGAGGATGAACAAACTTATTCCATTTTGTAGACTGGTCAATAATCCGGATCACTGGAAATGGAACCAGATATCCATTTCCTCGAAATTAACCAAATAATCGAATTCTTCATTCATGTGAAGCGCCCACCTTTTCCAGACGACCGCCGGTAGCAGACGGGAGACGAGAGTATTTGGGGAGAGCCAGGAAGAGGGAGGTGGGGGGAGGGGGGGAGTCACAGATTGCCAGACGCGTAGAGTTACAGACACCCCATACAACAGCACAACACACGCACACACAGGGGCGACTGTCAACGATGGCAGGCAGGTGGACTCGGTCTCGGCGGTAACGGGTTTGTGTCCCCATAACCTGGTCGGGGAAAAGTAAGAAGTCCCTATCATTATTGTCTTTATCCTGTAAAAGATAGTGGGTAATCGCTATTTTTTCACAATGTAAAAGAAGACGTATGAAAAACGGGACTGCTTCCGGAAAGAGCTGTATAACTGTGTCTAGAAATTGGATAGCTTCATAAAAAAAGGAAGATTTAAGAATTTGAATAGAAAATAATATGAAGAAATGGGAGAAATATCATCTGTGCGTATTATGAAACAGCAGTACTTCGAATACAACATGAACAGCTTATATTTAAGTTTAAGGGATAGACGTAGGAAAAACAAAGACAGGAAATGAAAAATAGCTCCAAGTGCTAGAACTGTGGAAGAAATCAATTCTTACAGTTTGCTTTTCATTTTGGTAAACCCCTAGAAAAATGTTTCAAATCCTTGTTTTTGGTTTTCCGACAATTTTCTGTTGTTCAGAGCATCAAGAGCACGTTCTGCCAGCGAAAACCATTAAAATAGATCAAATTAACAAGCACTGACGAAATTTTCGAGTTCGTGCAAATTATTTTGGTTGTGGTGAAGCAAAAATATCTACTGCGAGATCTAAACTTTGATCATATCCAGTACATCTGGCCTGAAACAATTCTGCGTTCTCAAACAATCATACAAAAATGTTAACAAAAAAAAGATACCTTACTTACTTGTGCTCGATTATTATTCTTACATAGACACACAGGCTTTCAAATTCACAAAAGTGCATAGGTACACACAAAAGCACGCGTGCACACACACACATACACACACACATACACACACACAAACACACACACACATACACATACATGCATACATACACATACTTAGTATAGATAGATAGATAGATAGATAGATAGATAGATAGATAGATAGATAGATAGATAAATAGATAGACAGATAGATATATAGATAGATAGATAGTGTAGGCACATTATGAGTTCACGTTCACCCCACGCCCTCACCTTTTACTCTATCCAAAACCACCACCCAACATTTGCTCTTTCCCACCCTCTCTCAACCAAAAAATAAATAACAACCTTCCTTCTTTCTTTCTCCCATCTTTCCCCCCTCTTTCCTCCCTTTTTCCTTCCTCTCTCTCCCAGATTTTTGCTACCACCACCACCACAACCACCACGCAAGGGGGCGCTGCTAATAGCCTGTCTTTCCGAGGGTCCTGTAAGCTTCTTCTTCTCCTCATACCCCGCCCCATAAATTCACGAGCGACAACAGCGTCTGACAGACTGGGATGTTGAGTGACGTAAGCCAGGCACCTTTTGCCTGGGAGACCCCCGCGTGCAAAGAAATTGGAGCCACTGTCTTGTCATTCAAAAGAAATTGTCTCAACTTCTGCTTAAGTGGGGTGTCCTCTTGTTCGTTTAATCGAAAGACATGATAATCCTCACTAAAAACAAAAAACTACCCCCCCCCCAAAAAAAAGCGGAAAAAGTGCTGTACACTGTACGTTAAATGCCAGCTGCTGCAATGAAGAGGTGATTGTCTGCATCGGCGCGATATTGTGTAGTGTGTAGTCTATGTAAACTGTTGCATGGCTTGGTTTTAGTGTTCTGTTTGTTTGTTTGTTTGTTTGTTTGTTTTTTATTGCCCTTTTTCATTATGTGTAGTTTATTATGATATGACACTATAAATTAAATTGGGCACTCCGTTAGCCCATGCAGTTGAAACAGCGGACTACCCATTACGAAACAGATGGCCCTGGATAGACGTAGAGTCCCTAAATGTCCCCCCGCCCCCCTCTTTCCCTCTTTTTCCGACAGGAAAGGAAACTAATGCTTGTTCTCCAGACAACTAATGAAGTTTGCTTTAATCTAACAAGCCAAAGCCCACTTAATAATGGCCGGATTAGATTGCCGTTTCCGCAGGGAGTATTGAAAAAATCGGAAGAGTGTGCACTTTACACTAATTGAAAAGACTGCCTGTATGAATATGTTTGAATCTGGTGCGTTCCATTCAATTAACCCTCTTAGCACTCCATTAACCCTCTTTCTACAATGGAGCATCCTGACGTTTGTGGCTTCGCAGTGCTGATGTATCAATCATGCTATCGTCTTTACGTCCAGGTAGTAAACGTTAAAGATGCATGACGACCACAGAGCTGAAGCCTATTTCCGTGTAAAACTAGGATTTGTATGGTTTAACGCTCTGTCAACACTGTGGGGTTATTCATTTCGAAGAGGCTATTCGGACTCGAGTCTGAATAGCCTCCCGTGGCTATTGGGACTCAAATTACAATGCGCGGTACTCATACGCTATGGCGGTACTGTATTGTCCTGAATTTATTTGAACATCATGTAAAGTAGTATGATGTTGGAAAAGCTTTTCCTTTAGACCACTGTTACTTTGAATGGCTGACTTTTGTTCCCTTTCGAAGGGTTTTTACTTTTCTCTTCTTTATTCCAGACTGGACTTCCAATTGATCAATGATTTATGTCTTTCTCGTCAAATACAGCGGGTTTAGATGAAACTTTTTTTCACTGCTTTGATCTTAGATTGCCGTTTCCCTGTTTGCCTTTGTTGTGTAGTATTTTAGATTTTGCTACTGTTGTTCACTTTTGACGTAACTAATACTTTTCCAAACATTTGTGTCGAAAATTTTGGCTTATCGTACAAAG